TAATCATTATTCAACCATATCAGCAACTCTCTTAAAAAAGAGTATTTTTTTGTTAGTCAAGTTGTATATAGGCTTATTAGGAAGAGGAGGACTTGACATAAACCTCCCTTTCCTGCTTTTGTGGTGATGGAATCACCCATGTTTCTGAGGTAAGGTCCAGTCCCCCTCACTACACGTTTTTGAATTACAACACTAGCCAGACTTCTGTCTGCATAACTTTATTTGAAAAAATAGCATGTCGTCTCAAGTTGCATGCAACACGACTAATTTATGAATACTAGTTACATTCCTAGATTAATTCTGCACGTCAAAATACAATCAGATTGAAGAATTTGGTTATCAATGAAAATTCGATAACCTGTTTATGATTAATTCTGCACGCAACAAACTGTTTATTATTTTCACTCTGCTACTTTTGATTACTGGTTAGCATTTGGAAATTATGTGAAATTTTTTGGAAACAAGGAAGAAAAGAAATAAGTAAATAGGGTTGAAAGGGGGCATTTGCATCTATACCCGCTTTTTGGGTCACGTTTTAATTTGTGCCCGCTTTGCAAAAAAAAAATTGCAAGCGTACCCACTTTTTCGCATAACTTCAGCATACGGAGCTGAAGTAGCAAAGGCAATCACACAAAACTTTAGCATTCTAGTAGACGAGACTAAAGTGTGCTGAAGTTTTTGTTTTGTAACTGGCAAACTTCAGCTCTAGAGCTGAAATTTTTGTTTTTGTAACTAGGGAACTTCAGCTCTAGAGCTGAAATTTTTGTTTTGTAACTGTCGAACTTCAGCTCTAGAGCTGAAGTTTTTGTTTGTAACTGGCTAACTTCAGCTCTAGAGCTAAAGTTTTTGTTTTTGTAACTGAGGAACTTCAGCTCTAGAGCTGAAGTTTTTCTTTTGTAACTAGCGAATTTTTTATTTTGTAACTGTCGAACTTCAGCTCCAGTAGGTGATCAGCTGTTGAAAAGTTACTGTAAATGATAAAGTGATACCAAACTTGTATCACACTCGTCAATGAAACCGTAGACAGAATCTGATACCTTCTTAATCCTCTCGGATTCAGTTGGTCATTGTGTACCTGCTAGGCCTACAGTATGAGGCTCAATTCTTCTTGCTTCGTTTCAAGTGGTCTTTTAAAGGACATACAGTTATCAAATTCATATCCCAAAGACTTGGATCAGTCAGAGGTCAAATAGTATCGCATATCATCTTGAAAATTCTAATTATTAGAATAAAATGTCGATTTGAATTTATTTTTTTAACCAAAATATCCATCCTGATCATACTTGTGACCAATATGGTCCTTTAAGCATTAATTGTCGTGGGATATAATTACAGGAAGATAAATGAGGGCGGATATAACTTTGAGGAGGAGAAGAAGGAGGAGAAAGGGAGCTGAAGTTGTTTAAAAAGTAGGTACAAATTAAAACTTTAAAAAAAAAATTGTATAGGTTAAATGGGGGCGACCAAATATGACGCCCCGTACAATTTTTACGATTGAAAGGCTGTATAAGGCTCCAACGGTGGGCTTTTTCCGCTTCCGTGAAATGGGGCCCAATTCTTTGTCTTCACTCTTACAAGTTGCTTCAACTGCATGATTTATTTTATTTTAGTTTCCAAAAATAGAAACTTTCTTTGCACGTCATTTGCCTGACTTATTGCTGCTGAGTCCTAAATTTGTTTGATGGTATATATTGAACACAAGAGTTTAATAAGGGAAATAATTTTGTTTTTAATACACACCGAACAAGCATATTATAAAAAGTTATTAAGGGATTCGTAATGCATATATGATTTTTATTGGGTATTAGGTTCATTCTATTGAAAACTGCATATACATTTTGTGCCTAAAATTTATAGTTTACAACTGTACAGTCGGACTTTTGTGGCAACAACAATAAACCCAGTTTAATCCTACAAATGGGATATATGAATGATAGTGTGTACGCAGATCTTACCCCTACCTTCAAGAAAGTAGAGAGATTGTTTCCAGAAGACCCTCGACTTAGGATAGGTAAAAGGAAGGGCAATAACAGCAAGCATACCAATTAGAAAACCGAAGCAAAAATACAAAATTAAATACACTAGGTACTACAATAAAAAAGCCGACACAAAAGCAATACCCAGTAATCACAGAAGTCAAGGGATACAAGAATACACAAATAATACTAAATCACGTACTAAAGCTACTGTTACCGATAAGGACAACGCTCAGCTACCTATCCTAACCCTCTACCTTAATTTTCAACTTCCACACCTTGTTATCCATGGTCATGTCCTCATAAACTGGAGCAACACCATATCTTACCTAATCACTTATCCCTAATACTTCTTCGGCACCCTCGAACTTTTGTGGGAGTTTCTATTTCATTTTAAATGGAATATCAAAGTTTCAAGCCTTTTTTTTTTCTTTTTCCATGGACGACACCACCTGGTTATTAGTGTTAAAAAGAAATTCTAAAACTAAGTTTAATCCAGATGGCTGCTGAAAGCTGCAGCATCAAATAAGACAACATAAAAGAATGATATCAAGTACGTACCCGGAAACAGAAGAAGAAGCATTGCAATTGCAATTTATTTATTTATTCTGGATAGTTGTGAATCCAGAATATCAAAGTTGTCCAAATTCATTCAGGTAGTGTAAATCCAGCATATCAAAGCATTGCAATTTACAGTTCTATAATCGCAAATAAATAAATAAATAATACCAAAATAGCCCAAATATCATTTTGTAGCACATTTATTTTGCTAAAACACAAAGATAGTTCAAATTTGAGACTTCAACAATATTGCAGTATTTTAGTTCCTTTAAAGTTGAAATTTAGAGAATCAAGCACCTTGACTCAATTTAGAAATCACTATTAAATATTAGTTTGTTGGATTGGGTCAAAGGATTAAACTAAAACATCATGGATAGCTATTGAAGTTTGCTTAAACTTGAATTCAAAAATTTGAATTTATTTCGAGTGGGTGTTGTTGGAATAGATTGGGTCAATCTTAAGGAGTGTGAATCTCAATTTTGGGATAATTTGGTGAAGATTTTAGGTGGTTTGAACTGAAATTTCAGCCATATTTGAAGTAAACAAGATGAACATGGAAGAAGATCATATGTGTATCACACTATACATCATTTGTGTATTACATGTGTGTATCATATGTGTATCACATATATTTCCATGTATACCTGTATTTGAGATACATGCGTGCTACACATTTGATACATGTGTCATAGAAGAATTTTTAAACTTAATTTTAACTATGAATTTTGACATCAAATCACTCTAAATCACCTCCAATCTTGCTCAAATTTTGTATATTGCATCATCTATATGTTTTCAACGAATTTCAACCATGCCCATTAAAAATGGTTATTTTTTGCGTAATTTCTTAACATTATTTATCATTGGGAATGAATTGACGTCAAACTAGTCTAACTCACCTTCAAACTTCGTCAAATTTTGTATATTGCCTCGTCTATGTGTTTTCAAAAATGGCAATAATATTCATTGAAAAAAATTGCCTATATTTTTTGAATGTTATACTCCCTCCGTTCCAGTTTATGTGAACTTATTTCTTTTTTGGTCCGTTTCAAAAAGAATGACCGCTTTCTAAATTTGAAAATAATTTAGCTTAAACTTTCAATTCTACCCTTAATGAGAAGCTTTTATAACCACACAAATATTTTGGACCACTTTTTGACTTGTTTAGGACCACATATTCAAAATCTTTATTTTTTCTTAAACTTCGTGCCCTATCAAACAGGTTCATATAAATTGGAATGGAGGGAGTATTATTTGTAATTTTTTGGGGCTATTTTTTGTAGCATAACTGAAATGGCTAATTATTGATAAATGACTTTTTTTTTTGGGTACATTCCAAAGGGATTGAGACGAAGAAAGTACTTTTAACCTAGTACTAGTACAAGTGTACAACTAATTAGATGATGTATTCATTCAAGTTGCAAATGAAGCAAACCAAATAACAACAATACATTACCTTAAACTAACATGGTGGGACCCATCTTTTGTCATTCTCTATTTGGGAATAAATATTCTCAAAGGTACTTTCCCCCCAAACTTTTCCAACTTTCCTATGTGCGTAATAAAGCAGTTTTCCTGTTTTAGTATTTCCTCCTTTCTCTTTTCCAACCAGAAGTTTGATTTCATCCTTTAAAGGACACAAACTCCCAAGGTACTGCAAATTTATATCCAATGCATGCATAAAGGTCAAATCAATTGAATCTTTACCATAAAAAGATGTTTGACTTTGTCCTATCCACAACAACTCAAGAGAGAAAAAAACAATATTAAAACTGCATGACCTGTGCATAAACCAAAATTTACAAGAATATACTTCTCCGTCCGTCAATTTAAATGATACTTTTTTTTATTATTCAAACTCCTAAAAGAATGACATATTTTTATATTTAAAAATAATTTAACTTTATACTTTTATTTTACCCACTTTATCATTAACAATAAATTTTATAGCCACATAAATATCATGGCCCTATAAAATTTTTGCCCCGTAAACTTTTAGAATTACATGTTTCAAAAGTCTTTTTTTTCTCCTTAAACTTTGTGACAAATCAAATTAAATTGAAACGGAGGGAGTAATTATCAGGGGCTTCCATTGAAACATTACAAAACAGTGGTGATAAATCTTGACTACTCTTTAACTTTTGACCGTTCGGTTACAATGATGTTATTGTTAAAGAATAAATGAGAAAAGTTTATTCACACCCGATATTGACAGCAATCAAACAAATACGTGTTCGTGCATAAGTTTTTTCCATGCATAAATCGCTATAGCAACATAAGTATATACTTTGGGATTTCCTTTAATCTGCCTCAAGCAAGATTACATCAAGGTTTATATCATAAATAAGTAGCTATAGTATGTCATATTGTGAATAAACACATCAAGGTTTTTATCATACCATTTAAAACTGTACCTGGTAAAAGAGGCACTTGTATGATACATCATACAAATTAAAAAGAAAATAAGGAAAAAAAATAATACCTTTATCAAAATGTCAAACCACAATGAACCCTTTATGTTGTCAATAGTTAACGAGATTGCCTATTGGTAGAAAACAACAATCGTATACTCAATCTTTACATTTGGAACTCACATCTCCTATAGTATCTTTTCATTCTCTTTAGTGTATAAAATCTTTTCATTCTCTTTAGTGTACAAAATTTTCCCTCAAGCACAAACTACTGGTTAGAAAAAAAGGAAAAAACAAAAAGAATGTGAATGGAAAAAGGTTGTGTTTGTATGAGCTGATTGAGGTCAGTCTATGAAAGTGAAAATATTCACCAAGGGTGGAAATCAAGAAAGCTGGAGAGCAATCTGCTGAAGAAGTACCTTCTTTTGAGCAGCAGTTATGAGACCTTTACATTCAGCATCCACCAAAACCTCTGTCATAATTGCAGCCGCGTGACCTCTAGGCCCGTTGGAACCTGATGCCTTCTTCAGCATGAACATCTGGAAACAAACAGTAAGGAGATTTAAGATGCCAGATTACAACAACAACCACCCCAGTGGAATCGGACAAGTGCCGTAAAGAAGCCAGATTGAAAATAAGAATTAATCCTTCTAAAATTTGATCCAGAAATTTCCCTTTTGAATTTGAATGAGAAAGACAATTAACTCCTTTTGAAGTTCAAGCGAGTTACAGACACATTTGTGCTGAAACTTGAAAGTTGCATAAAACTTTGGATGGAAGCATATAACTGGAAATTATTTTCCGTGAAACATTATGTAGCAGAGAATAGATCACAACTAGAAGAAAAAGTCGGAGGGACATAAATTATGACATTTTAAATGAAATACTGAAAACTATTATTTTGACACTTCAAGGAAGTTATATCCACATGAAGAGGAACCGAGAGTGCAATATTCCCTGAATTCAAAATGCAAGTAGAAAGGAGAAATATTAGACACCGCAAGCCTCTTCTGTAAAGGTAATACAATTCGTTCGATTGTAATTCATGAAAATTGATAGATCTTCAAGCACCATTTACATGCAGCAGTAACTATTTCAATCAAAAGAAATAAAATCACCCAAAAAAATAGTTTGCGTGCATTACAGCAGAATACCAAGCTAGACTAATAGCCCGTTGGGCCAAGGTGCAAAAATCAGCTTATTTTGATAATTGCTTTTTTTCAAAAGTGCTTTTCTCAAAAGTACTTTTGGTGAGAAGCAGTTTGTGTTTGGCTAATTAGTTTGAAAAGCACTTCTGAGCAGCAATTAGTGTTTGGCCAAGCTTTAAAAAACTGCTTCTAAGTGTATTTTTCTCAAAAGTGCTTTTGGAGAGAAGCTACTTTTTTCTGCTTCTCCAAAACTGCTTCTGCTTCTCCTCAAAAACACTTTTTTTCCTTCCAAAAGCTTTGCCAAACACCTTAATTTTTGGCCTAAAGTACTTTAGGCCAAAAAAAACACTTTTGGCCAAAAAAAAGCTTGGCCAAACAGGCTATAAGAGTGAGCTGGGCCGCCTTAGAATGGCAGAACAATTTAGGGTGAAATAACTACTAAATGAATAAGCTTAGATTTACTCATATGCATCAAAATGTGGAAAGAAAAGGGCATACAACCCATTTTGTGGTGTCCAATTTACGTTGAGTTCAGCCTTGCGCAGCATTTAAGTGCAAAACCAGAAGAAAATAGATACTAATACCATGGGATTCTCTTAAAGCAAATAAAGATGGGTATTTTGAAGTTATCAACAACCTAACTCTTTGTAAAGTCAAACGCCATAAGCAAATAAAAGTTTTGCCATTCTTAAATCTACTGTTTCAGAAATATCCATTCGATCAATAGTCAGAATTCAGGCCAGACACATACAAGAGGTGTCAAATCATAAAAATATCAGAACCTACTTCATTAATTTGTATATAACGTTCTGTCATTTCATTTCAGGATTTATGTGAACTCCAAGGAAAATTAGATACCTGTTCATGATGTGTTATTTCTAGACAACCCGGTTGCTGTATGAAAGGCTCCCCATCAATTTGAACGGGGAAAGGACTAGAAGCATGTATCTTTACAGTTCCCCCTTGGGCTAGCCTCCTCGCTTGAGAAAGTCCTACCTACAAGTCAAAGATTGTAAGAAGGAAAGCAAAATAGCAGAAGAAGACGTAAAGCAGGAAGAGGGGGGGG